GAGGACAAGTATTAATACGCACCATCAGCATTCGGCGTTACTGAGGACAAGTATTAATACACGCAAATTTTACTCAGCGTTACTGAGGACAAGTATTACTAAACACCATCAGCACTCGGCGTTACTGAGGACAAGTATTAATACGCACCATCAGCACTCGGCGTTACTGAGGACAAGTATTAATACGCACCATCAGCACTCGGCGTTACTGAGGACAAGTATTAATACGCACCATCAGCACTCGGCGTTACTGAGGACAAGTATTAATACGCACCATCAGCATTCGGCGTTACTGAGGACCAGTATTAATACACGCAAATTTTACTCAGCGTTACTGAGGACAAGTATTACTACACACCATCAGCACTCGGCGTTACTGAGGACAAGTATTACTACACACCATCAGCACTCGGCGTTACTGAGGACAAGTATTACTACGCACCATCAGCACTCGGCGTTACTGAGGAAAAGTATTAATACGCACCATCAGCACTCGGCGTTACTGAGGACAAGTATTAATACGCACCATCAGCATTCGGCGTTACTGAGGACAAGTATTAATACACGCAAATTTTACTCCGCGTTACTGAGGACAAGTATTACTACACACCATCAGCACTCGGCGTTACTGAGGACAAGTATTAATACGCACCATCAGCACTCGGCGTTACTGAGGACAAGTATTAATACACGCAAATTTTACTCAGCGTTACTGAGGACAAGTATTACTACACACCATCAGCACTCGGCGTTACTGAGGATAAGTATTACTACACACCATCAGCACTCGGCGTTACTGAGGACAAGTATTACTACACACCATCAGCACTCGGCGTTACTGAGGACAAGTATTACTACACACCATCAGCACTCGGCGTTACTGAGGACAAGTAATACGCACCATCAGCACTCGGCGTTACTGAGGACAAGTATTAATACACACCATCTGTACTCAGCGTTACTGAGGACAAGTATTAATACGCACCATCAGCACTCGGCATTACTGAGGACCAGTATTAATACACGCAAATTTTACTCAGCGTTACTGAGGACAAGTATTACTACACACCATCAGCACTCGGCGTTACTGAGGACAAGTATTACTACGCACCATCAGCATTCGGCGTTACTGAGGACAAGTATTAATACACGCAAATTTTACTCCGCGTTACTGAGCACAAGTATTACTACACACCATCAGCACTCGGCGTTACTGAGGACAAGTATTAATACGCACCATCAGCACTCGGCGTTACTGAGGACAAGTATTAATACGCACCATCAGCACTCGGCGTTACTGAGGACAAGTATTAATACACGCAAATTTTACTCAGCGTTACTGAGGACAAGTATTACTACACACCATCAGCACTCGGCGTTACTGAGGATAAGTATTACTACACACCATCAGCACTCGGCGTTACTGAGGACAAGTATTACTACACACCATCAGCACTCGGCGTTACTGAGGACAAGTATTACTACGCACCATCAGCACTCGGCGTTACTGAGGACAAGTAATACGCACCATCAGCACTCGGCGTTACTGAGGACAAGTATTAATACACGCAAACTTTACTCAGCGTTACTGAGGACAAGTATTAATACGCACCATCAGCACTCGGCGTTACTGAGGACAAGTATTAATACACGCAAACTTTACTCAGCGTTACTGAGGACAAGTATTAATACGCGCCATCAGCACTCGGCGTTACTGAGGACAAGTATTAATACACGCAAATTTTACTCGGCGTTACTGAGGACAAGTATTACTACACACCATCAGCACTCGGCGGTACTGAGGACAAGTATTACTACACACCATCAGCACTCGGCGTTACTGAGGACAAGTATTAATACGCACCATCAGCACTCGGCGTTACTGAGGACAAGTATTAATACACGCAAACTTTACTCAGCGTTACTGAGGACAAGTATTACTACACACCATTTGTAATCAGCATTGCTGAGTAGTATTAATACGCACCATCATCACTCGGCGTTACTGAGGACCGTTGTGAAAAAACGCCTGCGCGGCCGAACACATCACTTTTATGCCAACGTGCCTCCAATTAGGTTAAGACCAAGTCAGCTAACCAACATCTGATCCAGCGTCTTAGTTTAACTCCAGTGTAGCGGGCGGAGTTTGTTCCCCTCAGTTCACTCTAGGCTGAACCCCACTCGTTGTCCAGGCCTCTGGTCTTTATTGAAAGCGCTCTGAGGTAACGGCTGTTATATAAATAAAATGTAACTTTAATGCACCAAAAATATAGATCCAAAAATAAATGTTTCTGCAGCCTTAATAAGATCATCAAGACTCAAATACAGAAAACAACTTTTAATTTGAAATTACAAACAGGCTTCCTGTTCAGGTATTTACAGCTGCAAAAACATAACATCTTTATAAAAAACAACAAACAGTCCTCTTTTTTCTGCGTCCGTGCAGTCCATTGTTATTAGACTCCCAGAATGCTTTGCGTTCAGACAGGTGTCACGTGGGTAGAGTCCATTTCCTGTTCACCTGCTGATATGGCATCCTTACTGACACGTCGCTGTCCTTCTGTTTCTTCTTCTTCGCACTTTCGACCTGCAGGACATGACAGCTCGTTACTCATTGTACAACTCTGACGATCGATAAAGTTTCTTATCGTTCATTTAATCTGCCAACAACAACGACATCGATACTTAAAGGTCAGCTGTGATTGGCTGACAACCCGGTTCATAGGATCGTGTACCGGGGTGCTCAGAGACCGGCGTGTTGGTCGCTGCATGACGAGGGAACGCTGAACTCAAAGTTAACTCACCTCTGTCGTAGGCTCCGTCCCCTCCTCTTCAGGCTCCGTGGCTGCACCGCCAGGCCCCGCCTCCTCCAGTTTTGCCCTCTTCTCTTTCTTCACGTCCTCTGCAGACGGCGTGCCGGGCGTCACAGCTTCGCCGTCGCTCTCTGCCGCCTCCCGCTTCTTCTGCAGAGCACAAAGGTCAAATACTCGTCAGCCAACACAAAGTCAGAAAAAAACGCCATCAGAAAAGGTGGTCGCTGTGACAAAGTGCTCTCACAGCGGCGTTCTGCCCGCCCCCTCATGAAGGTGAGCCCCCTCAGGTGTGGGAGGGCCCACCTCTGACTAGAGCACCAATTTAAACATTAGGTGTAAATTAAACAGTCAGCAGCCCTGAAGGTTCACAGATTCAGCCAATCAGGAGCCTCTGTGGATATTTATGTCAGCTTTATTTTCACATCGAGCCCGTCTGAAGCTCCTGGGGAAGAAACACTTCTGATTGGTCGTCTGACCAGGTGAGTTTACCTTTGCTGAAGCAATCACTCACATGACTCCTCCGTCACCTTGGAGACCCTTTCAATGAAAAGAAACAAGATTTTAAATTGGTACACACCATCAGCACTCGGCGTTACTGAGGACAAGTATTAATACGCACCATCAGCATTCGGCGTTACTGAGGACAAGTATTAATACTCGGCGTTACTGAGGACAAGTATTAATACGCACCATCAGCACTCTGCGTTACTGAGGACAAATATTAATACAAAGCATCTGTACTCAGCGTTATTAAGAAAAATGTATTAGTACACACCATCAGTACTCTGCGTTACTGAGGACAAGTATTAATACGCACCATCTGCAGTCGGCGTTTATATCATTATTTTATAGTGTAAAGTTAGGATCACAGTGTTAAAACTCTACAGCTCTGAGTGTATGCGCTCCTTTCTGTATCTAACTGCCCAGGCACGTGTGTGTGTGAGCAAGTTCGTGTGCTTTGGGAGAAAAGGGAGGGAGCATCAAAAATACCTTGCAAAGGAAAATATAGAAGCAGATTTTGTATTACAAAACATACATCAATATAGTCCATCACAGTAAGAATGTCCTGTTTCTAGCACAGAGCACAAAAAACACCAGTTTATTCCACAAAAGTCAGGTTATGGAAGAAATGGCATGATCAAGCAGAGTGCATGCAGAGGACACAGAGAGGAGGAGCAGGCAGTCAGGGACTTTCCAAGACTCAGGTGCAGTAGGAAAGAGCCAAGAGATGATGTGAATCCAAGAAACAGAGCTATAAAAGGAGGTCCAAAAGGAGGTGAAAGTCAGTCGTTACATGTATTAGTACGCACCATCAGCACTCTGCGTTACTGACGACAAGTATTAATACACGCAATCTTTACTCGGCGTTACTAAGGACAAGTATTAATACACGCCATCTGTACTCAGCGTTACTGAGGACCTTTGTGAAAAAACGCCTGCGCGGCCGAACACATCACTTTTATGCCAACGCGCCTCCAATTAGGTTAAGACTAAGTCAGCTAACCAACATCTGATCCAGCATCCTAGTTTAACACCAGTGTAGCGGGCGGAGTTTGTTCCCCTCAGTTCACGCTCTGGATCTGAGGTCAACAGGAAGTGATGCCGACCTTCTCTCCCATGACTCCAGACCGGACTCGCCTCAGTTCCTGCATCTGACCTCCGACCCCAGGACCAGACCCAGGTGAACACACAGAGTCCGGATGCAAAGTTCCCACCTCACAGCTCACCCAGAAGATGCCTGCAACACAGAATCACGTGACCTCTGACATCACCGTGACGTCACTGATGAACCTAATCAATAGTCGTTCGATACGTGACTGCCGATCAGTGATCTTACCCAGCCTCCTCTCGGGGTCGTATTCGATCAGTTTGCTCTCGTAGATCGTTCGGACTCTCAGCTGACGTTTCACGGCGGCGATAAGCAGCAGTCGCTGGAACAGAGCGTCAGTGTCTGCAGGGCCTGCAGAGCTTAGAGGGTTACATGACAGCCAGCCAATCAGAGCAGAACAATCAAGAAAATATCCAATCAGGAAGTGGTCAGACTTACCCGAGCCAGTGCGTGTTCGCTCTGTATCGCATTGTGCAGCCGAACGATTCCCACATACTCTTTACCTGCAACAAACACAGAGTAGTGAGGGGGCTGCTGGGCTTCAGTGTGCTCACATACCACATGGAGACGTTTCTTAGTCTACAGAAACAGGAAGTGGTCACTGTACCGGCACTTTGCTGGGACTTGACCAATCGCGTGGCTCGATCCAAGCAGACGATCAGAAACCCGGTGACCTTCGGGTCGAGCGTCCCAGTACCCATAGGATCCTCCTGATCCACGCCACAACCTCGTGAGACGACAGGTTCGCCGGTTTGTCCAGGTTGATGAACCCCGTCCTGACAGGAAGCAGAATAAACATCTATTCAAGCATTATTAGCTTAGCATTAGCTGAAGGTTACCAGACAGTGCTGTTTGCATGTTAGCTTAGCATCACTCGGTTACCTGACATAGTCATGGATGTTCCTCTTCAGAGGGTTGCTACCAAGCGGCAGAGGTGTGTAATGAGCTGTCCGGATGTTCAGTTTATCAAAATTCTGCAGGAAACAAAATGAAAGTTATCAGATTTCACTTTCTGTATGAAGACAGGAAAACACATAGCCAGGCTCTTATTTTGGTAGCGCCGTCAGTTTCGTGCTCTGAAACTGATGCGTCCCGTGTTTGATATTTTATCTGCTTGTTGTTCCAAAGTGATAAATTTTTCGTATTTTAAACTAATCTGCTATAAGTCTCAGCACCATGTGATCAGTACAGGAAGTCGTCTTGGTGGCACTCGCGTCGAGTCATGCTCTCTGTGCAGTTTCGGTCATCGCCAGGCAGAACGCCGAGACGACGTCGGCACCGCGGTGGAGAGGCCCCCAGAACGGGGGCAGAGGCGGAGACCGCGACAAGATGGCCGCTCAGAGAATGAATAAACTGGTTCATCACTTCACACGCTAAAGACTAAACTTCAGGTTTTGATGTTTGTCCCCTTCAGGGAGCCGTAGTCTCACCGTCAGTAAGTAGTAGTAGTTCATTGCGACGTGTCCAGCGAGGCGGCTCTGGCCTCTGGTTTGATGAAGAAGTCTCCGCTCTGCTGGATCTCCTGTTGCACAAACACACGGCGTCACCTGTCTGAACAAATGCACCTGAAGCTCAGCCAGGTGAACTCCGACTCACCCCCACTTCCTCCTCGCTGACCGCCTTCGTCTCCTTCACTGATGCTGCAAACACACGAGCAAACACATTCGGTCATCAAACCTGCGGTCAGGTCCAGACCCCCCCCCACAGAACAAGCAGCTCTGGGTAACCATGACTACATTTCTCACCATTTAATGAAAATCCTGCTTCACCTCATGATGCATTTATACTTCTACAAGTACTTTAACATGCAGTACTTTTACTTTCAGTGTACTTTAACAGTGAGGCCGCCAGGAAGCACGCGGTCCCACATTAACAGACTCGTGACACTTGGACCTCCTGAGAGAGCGGGGGAGGTGCACGAACCGAGACGAACTAACGCACACAGGGTTCAGATTAAGAACTTGGGTAACACGGATCCGGACAAAGTTCGGTAACTTTAAACCGGATTACATCAAGAACTGCGCGCGACGGAAACTAAAAACCAGTAGTACGAGACGCGGTGCACTAAAGCCGGAACCAGATGCACTAAAACAAGGTCCACTCTAGAACCAGGTAAAGATTTCAGATGTTTGCAGAGAAACGTGGACTCACCTCCTTCTGTGTCCGCCATCTTCAACTGAGCGTCTGTGCGCACAGCGCGGCTTCTTCTTCTTCTTTTTGTAAGATTCCGGCAGTGTAGACGCTTATGAGCGTATTACTGCCCTCCACAGGTCAAAGTTTGAACTAAATTCTTACATACAATCCTGTGTCATGCAAGAATTGAAGGACTGCCTTGAGATCAGTTTATGCTTGTCACTGTGCCCAAACAAAGAGAAAACAGAAAAAGCCTTAACTCCAAGTCCTGACAGTTTATTAAAGAGTACATTTCTTTCTGCCCTATACTTTCTGCATTCCAGGAAAACATGCCCTATTGTCTCAAGACTCCCACATTCACACAAGCCAGAAACATGCTTCCCCACAATGCACAAAGAATAATTTAATCCACAGTGCCCCAACCTCAACCTGCACATTTTAACCATGCGGGACAAAATGTTACATAAACATCTCTTCCTAACTTTGGGTTGTATAGAAAAGTAGTGTCTGCCTCTCTGCCAGTTTTTTATTAAGCCCTCTTTAATTTTTTCTGTCAATTCCACTCTCCCTAATAATACATGGACATCTACTTCTCTTCCTAAGCTCTCTTTTGCAATATTATCCACCCGTTCATTCCCCCTCACCCCAACGTGCCCGGGAACCCAGCGTTTTTTTGGAAGCGAAAGTAACCGGTAAAGACTTCAAATAGTAGCCCATGTACCATGTAATTAGAAAGGTGATTTTAGACTAAAACTAAACTAAAACAACGTTTTTTTAGTAAAATTAAGTAGCACTGGGTGTGAAAAAAACACTTCAGTTAAGTGAAATAAAAACAATAACTGATAAAATAATAACTGTTAGGCTGTGAAATGAGGTTTGCAATTAATTTAAGTCCAAATCTTTTATTCTGTTCACCGTGTCACAGCAGCAAGGGAGAAACAAACGAGCAATAGATATCATGAGATATTATCACTGTGTCCAGCAGCAGAATGTGTTATTGAAATGTTTGCCGTGTGTTTCAGGCTGAGTGAGGACATGTGTCGCAGACTTCGGCCTCTCCAATAAGATCTACAGCGGAGATTACTACAGACAGGGCTCGGTCTCCAAGTTGCCGGTGAAGTGGATCGCTCTGGAGAGTCTCGCTGTCAATGTGTACACCACACAGAGCGTGGAGAACTCTGAGATCTACGAGTACCTGATCAAAGGAGAGTGACTGATGAAACCTCCGGACTGCAGAGACGACATGTGAGTCTAACAATTGGGCTAACGCCTCCCTCAGCTCCGCCTGCCAGGTTCCTCCCTGGTGACCCACCGTCACACCGATCTAAAGTTTTAGCGAGCGCCTAAGGACAAAAAAACAGCTCCAAAATGATCATAATTGGGGGGGAAAGCGTAAGAAAAGCTCTCCCAATTCATTTTAATAGCCATTTATCAAGCAGAAACAAACTTAAATACGACATCGTTGCCTTCCAGCAGCCTCCTCCTCTCCTCTCACGGCGCTGCATCCTAATTAGTTACATATGTTTAACAGAAATCTGCCAGGGGCCGCCCCAGGTTTTCTGTCTCCGTCATGTGGTCCAGCTCTGGTTTGTCTTGTACAAAACAAGTCTCTTGTTTTGAAGGAGCAGTTTCCTGTGCAGCACAAACCAACTGCAGGTATAAACCTGCTTTTATCCAAAGCGACTTACAATGTCTACACGTGTCAGAGGTCGCACGCCTCTGAAAAGTCTCGCCCAGGGACACAGTTATCCACTGCTCCATCGCCCCATGGAGAGCATTGTTCTTGCACAATAAATTATGACTGAAAACAACCCACAAAAATAAAACTGCTGTTTTGTCCTACTGGAATGAATATTATAGGCTACTGATGCTAAGCTACAGTAGCCTGTGCAATGTTGCGGTCCATGGTAATGATAATCAGAAAATGG